GATCTCCACCTCCAAATTTCTCCTCCCCCTCAAGGGGTTAGGATTTCCTCTCATGCCATGGCCGTCGACGATCTCTCTTATTTCCGATGTCGCCGGATTGGTTTTCATCTCAAGTAGTTTCTTCAACATTTCCTCCATTGCGGTGAACTTCCCCTCCAACCTTTCATTGTTGGAGGTGATTTGATTTTGAAGGTTGAAGAATCTTTCCTCCAAATCGGCTTTCAATTGGCCGACTTCGCCTTCCAAGACGTCCACCTTCTTTCCGGCCATCGTTCTTCTAACGGATCCCAAAAAATCTTCTTCCGGAAACGATAAACTTGCTGAAATTTCAGAATTTCAGCCGTCGGTGGTCCCAAATCGACGCTCTGATACCAATTTGATAGGAAACACTTGTAGATCTTCTGAAAAATTGCGAAAACAGTGATTGGACTGCTGTCCACAGCAGGAAAACTCAGCAAATCTGCTGTTTACAACAATTTAACAGCAGAATTCTAGAGGAAATTTGAAAGAAACTCAAGCAAGATTTGTATTCCACTAGATAATGAATAAATTAGCAAGATACACTTGATCCTCAATTCGAGAGGAGGATCGATCTCTCCCAAATCTCTGGCAACGCCAAGAGCCCAAAGAAAACCTAAATCTAAGATATCCCAAATTTCAGCCAAAATCAAGATACTCAAACCCTAGGAAAATCAACTATTTAATGCATACAAATCAAAAGGAAATCCCTAAACAATCCCTACATTCAATTTCCCTCCTAGAATCCATTCAAAAACCTTCCTAAAAGGAGCTCTCAAGCCTCGCATGCGTGCGGCTGACGGAAGAGGCGGAGAAATTCCGCCCGTTCTCCGCCTGGGCCGGACCGGCTGGACCGGTCCATTGGACCGGTCTAACAAAGAAGGATGGAGGTTCGAATACAGACTTTGCCGCTGTAAGCATTGCTGATGATGCAGCCATTTCTAAGCATGAGGAGAGTTCAAACCTAGCTATTCACAACTAACGTCTCCTAAAAAGTAACAATGATAGAGTCGGTGAAGGAGCTGAGAAGAACTTGGAACTTATCTCAAGTAAGAAAAGGGTGGATTCCTTGGAGGCTCGAGTTGCAGCCTCTGATGACATGGGTGCGTCCGGCACAGTTGTTGTTGATTATCTCGATATGCAAGAATCGATGGAAGTTGAATCCTCCAAATTGAGAATTTCAGGCGAATCTCAAACGGACGGTGCAGCATTGCACAAAGCAACCCAAGCTTCAATTAATTCAACTAAAATTATCATAATGGGCTAAGAAGTGCGACTAACATGAATAGTGTTATAAACGAAATAGCAGAGGTGCCTAAAACCGTCTCAATGTATGGTAGAATGGATGTTTGCAGTAAGGCTCTTTTCAAAGAGTGCATGGGCTAATGTAAAATTAAATGTAGCATACATGACTTTGAGGGTAACCAACTAATAAATTCATCAATTAATGACTTGCATAACATTGCTCAATGCTTAACACATTTTCAACAAAATGCTTTTTCGCACTCTAATGAAAGGAACAACCAATCTCTCTGCCCCAGAAAATTCAGTCTCCGTGGAAGTATAATAGAATTAAAGCCTAAGAGTCAAACGCCTGCAAGTAGGCCCATATGATCAGCATTGCATTAATGACAAAATCTGAAGTTCTAGCTAAAAAAGAGGGTTTATGTATCTCTGCATGTTGACTCTATTCGGGAAAACATTGATAATCTTAAGCAAGCTCTTGTGGATAAGCCATTAAGCAAGAGATTGTTGCACAATGAACTAAAACAAAATGATCGCATGTGGGGGATTTTCAACTCCTTATTCTCTCTCCAAAATGCTTTGTTGCTTATTCCAAAATTTGGAAGCTAGAGATGCCGTCTTAATGGAGGGACCATGGTCGATTGGAGGACATATCATTGGGATGGATCAGTGGACGCCCTTAGTCTCGCCACAATCAATGCAAGTTACTCCGATTTAGATTCGACTGTCATACCTACTGCTTCTATATTGGGATGACACAAATATAGCTCGTATCACCTCTTTCATAAGACAACCTCTTTCATAAGACAACTGTTGTGGGTGTATGCACCTACAGACACATGGGAGAGAAATAGCTTGGCTGGCATTTGTGCTCATGTTGATGTCGCCTCAAAACTTCCAGCAAGCATATGGGTGATGGGGGTGCAAGGAGAGTACTTCCAAAAAGTTGAATATGACGAAAAAATTCCAAAGGCTCAATCGACAAATTATCTCTTCTTAATGGAAATTGTATGAGGGATGAATATTTGAAGCAAACCTAGGAAAAAGTACCCGATTGCAAAAGACAATCCACATTTGGATTTCAACACCCCTACACCTATTAGTTTTTCATCGGGACAGCGTGCAAAGGAAAGTGGTGGCAACACCAACAAACCTAATCCCATTTCAAAGCGGGAGAGACATGGCCATGTATCAAAAGCTCATTTTGATAAATAACTATTTCAACTTGGACCGATTGAGCCACTGCCATGTAATAGGAAGAAAGCATTCAATGCAACTTTTAGCGGAGGGGATAGGTCCCCCTTGGCTTGTCAATGATGTGGTTCACTATCGAGACTTCTAGGGGACGCCACATGATGGCTATTACCCATTGCAGGAGCACCGGGACACTAATCAGCCTTTGCGGCTGTTTCAACCCTTAACTTGGTGTCCCCTACCCTAGAGTGGTGCTTAGTTCGCTTTGTTGGTGCTTGCTGCAATCACATAGGATCCCCATCTAGACAACCAAGGGGATTCTTTTAGAAGCTGTTTGGTATGCGGATTTAGGCGGATTTAAGCGGCGATTGTGGATACGGAGACAGCGGCACGTTTTGGTGCAGTGATAATAAATCTGGACGAGCAACGCGGACGCCGATAACAGATGTACGATAATCCAAAGTGCTCACGGCCGACGAGAAATCGGCTTCACCGTTGGAAGAAACGGACAAAATTCCGCCGATTCGCTCTAAATCCCGGATTTCCGAAATCCTTTGTTTGTCGGCGGAGTTTACCGGGATTTGCCGAAGAGCGAAGGCCGCGAAAGGGAGAAAGTGGTACGGCTTGGTGTCATACAAGCAAGCGAGCTCCCCAGTTGTTGCTTCGAGATAAAAAAAAGTGGGTCGATGAACTGCCGGATCCAACAGGGAAGGTTAAGGTAGTCGAAGGAGAAAAAAGTCGAACAGGCGACCAATCAGGAGAACCTCGTGTGGAAAAGTCCGGGTTTAACCGGTGACGAAGGAACAAAGCCGAACGAAATACAGGAGTGAAAAGATAAAACCTAGACACTTAATAATTGTTGAATAATTTAATTATATATAATTTAAATATTAATAATTAAGAGTGAATTAATTAAATAATATTTAAATAATGATAAAATTTATTGTTAATATCTTAGTTATTTCAAAATAATTAATAGGGATTAAATATGATCTAAAATAAAAAATTATTATATAATATATTATATATAAATAATAATTAACCTTGAGTATTATCAAAGTTTTGTTATATTTTATTTAAACTTTTCTTGTCGTGCTTTAATTATCCTAATAATATATGTCAACTTTTTAACCGCCTTAAATCAAAATGAACAGCCAAACAGTCACAAAAGATTTAATTGGATTTATCATGAATGTTACCAAACAGTTTTCAGGATTTAACCCCTCAGGATTTCGTAAATCTGGGATTTGGAGGATTTACGAAATCCTACTTAAATGAAATCCTAAATTCTACCAAACATCCCCTTAGTGTTAGCTTTTTTCACTTTGAAATATACTTATGTATGGAATGACATAGTCATTACTACTCTTCACTCTTCTTCTTCTTTTTATTTGCTGAGAGAAGACTCTCATAGAAGTTTCCATACTTGATTGCACCTTTGTACACTTTTTGCCTTCTACTTTAGTAATGCAGTATGCACTTTTCAAAAAAAAAAAAAAAAAAAAACTTTTGATAGAAGAACAGAAGGCTATGGCAAGAAAAAAGCATCAAAGTTTCTTAACGTCCACTGAAAATAAAATCATCAAGGACTAAAATCCAGACTCCTCCAAAAAAACTCACATGATACAAAACAAGGTTATGGTTTAGTTTCTCAGACTTTTCATCTTGATCAGAACTTTATGTCAGGCAAGAATGTAAGAAATCATCAGTTCACTAGACAATTAAGGCCTCGGTTATAATAGATTAAGAAAAATAGCAATTAAGATCCTTGGAAAGTTCAAAACCAACCAATTCAATGAGAAAGCAATGTTTCATATTTTGCATTGAAACCCACCGATTCTGAAATGGCAAATTATTCTAGATCAACAAAAATCCACAGAAAAAAAAACTAAAGGTGTTGACCCATTTAAACAGACTCAAATCAGTAAAAACAATAAGAAATCATTTGAAACTTCTTAGAAGAGCAGGACCAGAATGAATCAACATTGAGATGATTTGGACTCCAAAGTGCAATGCCTGCATTATGTAAAGAGCAAGCTGCTACAGTAATCACAAGTAAACACAGATTGTTCTCACACCAAAATTAGCCACATAACATTTACAGATGTAATGCTGAAAAGTTCAGCTGCATGCTTCAGTGAAGTTACGAAACAAGAAAAATTCTAAAGCATTCCAATGAAAAAATAAGATATAATGTACTAGATCAATCATGGAATTAGATGTAATGGAGGATAGTTATAATTAAATGTAAAATATAATAAAATATTAAAAGCAAAACTCCTCTTAGTAGCAAAATTAATATAATAGAACAATTAAATGCATAAATATGCACAATATTTAGTAATAGAATCATCTTGAATCTAGCTGGCCCAGAACGGGTGCAAAAAGATTCAATAAAGCGCTATACTGGATGGCTAATTTTAAACAAACTTTCACAAGTTATTACAACAAAAGTGAGCCTCACAAATGAAACTTTAGTGCCACTGAGAACAGTGCGATGAAAGGAAATGCGGGCCTTTCTCACCTAGGCGCTGGAGGTGGGGTAGGTATATGATGTTTTGCCAAACCCACCCATGCAACAATGCCTACTGCAAGAATTACCCAACCAAGTATGTCATACTTAAGGTCACTTTTTGCCTTCGTCTTTGACACCTAAAACATAAGAAAATATAATTTAGAACTAAAAGTACCTATCAATACGAAGAAGGCGGTAACAGAATTTATGAACAAAAGTGTACTTATTTCCTTGAGAAAAGGAACCATAATAACCTGTGAGGATTTAAATAAAGTGCTAAAGAACACTTAATTGAACACAAACATTGCAAAATAAACAGGAATAATAATCATATCAATGATTTAGACAAGCAAATGATGTAAAAGGTGAGCATTTAACTATAAATGAAGAGCCGAAGTAGAACACTTCTTTAGAAAATGATACTATCTAAACTAACTTTTAAAAACATCAATGCTTCACCCACAAGTACCAAAGTAACCTTGTTGGCATAAAAAAATAGCTCGAAAATTACCACTTGATAAGCTAAAAAAACATCTGTTCACTGCTATCACAATGCCAACTTGGAAAAACTCAAGTGAGCACAAAAAAGCCCTTTGAAGTAGAAAAAATATGGATTCCAAACTTTAAAAAGGCCCAATGCAACTCAGTTTCCTTCACAAAGTTTAACTATATAAAAATGTCCTCCGTAGAGGCAGATTGGCATTACAAGATTAGTAATTAGACATCACTATTTCTGCATACCAAATCATATTAGAATCATTTGTGTTGTAGAGTTAGTGAACATCTCTCCAAACAAAATACTTCCAAAAGATGAATCTCTCAATGAACAAGAGTAACAGTTATTCTGATATTTTATAGAAACATAAGCAAGCGGAATTAACATAAGAAAAGCAGAGGAAGCCCATAATTTTGCATAGAATACAAGCTATAATAGCCAGCAATACAGCTGATGAAGATCCAACAAAAATCACAGTTTTAGTAGTTTAAGCCAATAGTGCCAGACATGTGAAATATTTGTGAAGTGAATTTGTCATCCAAGCCCCATATTGGGTTAGATTCAATTAAGACAAACCCGCTAATTCCTCTAGTTTAGCTTATTCATTTTCCCTATTTTAGGGGTTGTACACATATAATACTAAAAAAGTAGGTAATTAGAGATTCACTACCGAATACCTAAACTCTCTAAAAGAACTAATAAAGCAACTAAATTTGTTGGAAAAATAATCCATACTATATCCAAAGTCTTGGTACATCAAGGGTTGATTCATACCCAATTTCACATAAAAACCTATACAAGAGGTAGCAACGAAGACCACAAATCTATCACAATTATAGTATTTGGATCGTTCATGCCAACATCAAATATATACTAGTCGGGAATACAAAATGATGTTTGATATTTGTTCAGACAAGTTGTTATTTTGAACTTTGGCATAGCATTTGTTTCTTTATTTTTTCAGTTTTCTAATTTCTTTAACATTTTACCATAATGATGTTTGATGGCCATTCAGCTTGCTACATAAGGAAATAAAATAAGATCAAATATTTTGCCTATGAATGTTGCACATGTCACTTTGGGTAGATTGTGGTTGTCAGACTTAGATATGACTCACTTTGGGAGAACTAATACTTATGCATTTAGGAATAATGAGAGGATAGTTATAAAGCCTTCTAAATCTAAGAGTACTCTACGTAAAATGAAGAAAGAACCGAAGACATTTCCATTTTTCAATCAACATTATTTTGAAAAGAAAAGTTGTGCAGAAAGATTGATTTATACTTGAGTCGATATTGAACTAACATCATAAAATAGAAACACGTTTAAATAAAATATTATTTTAATAGTTATATTTTATTTCTACTCCATAGAATAATTTAATTGTTAGAAGTTAAACTACTTCATAATCATAATAATAATAATAATAAGTATTATTATTATTATTATTATTATTATTATTATTATTATTATTAGTATTGTTGTTGTTATTATTATTCATAATTTTTTTATGAATTTAGACCTAACTAACTCTTTGTTCTGAGTTCATAAATGTAAGATTTTTACTAGCATAAAAACAAATTCATTGATGAATAAAATTACTAAAAATATTAAATCTAATATAATATATTGAATTACTATTGTATAATCTAATAAGATATATGAAACTGAATAATATCAAGCCCATGTTAAATAGATGAGCCATATGGGAATTTTTATTGACTAAACAGTAAACCCTTTGGTGAGCTCTACGCGGCAAGTGACTCCTCCCTAAGGCCTAAGCCATAGTGTAACATGTGGGAGAGGCACATTGATGGCTATAGCATGCATGGAAAGAAAGTAATATGAGCAAGTCATAATAGGTTAATTAAGCAAATATGGGTTGAGTTGGACCAGTTCGGGAAGATTTGGCCCAATTAGCATAGGATTCTGTGTCATGCATCATCTATGTGCTCATTTGTCGAAGATAATTTGTTCAAGCTGTATTGCATATATATATATATATATATATATATGTATGCATGCATAAGTTTATTTTGCAATAATTTTTTTTATTACTTCAGTACAATCTTAGATAATAATTTGGTTTTCATGAATTCTTTATGCTAATAATCTGTTCTTTACATTGAGAGCTATTTGCTAACATATAAGTAAAACCAAAAGGAATGTTGATCAATTTTGAGTCAGTACATTGGGCTTTGCAATATATTTTGTCCTGACCAAAAAGACTAAAGAGAAGCTCCACTAGACTCTCAATCAAGGCTGGCTGCCTCCATTTTAACTTCACTTAAAACCTCCAAACTTGAATCGAAGGAGGCTCACTCATACTTAGTCTCACTGTCAGAGAAACCACAAGAAGTCAAAGAGAAGAAATGGGCCATGATTACCGATAAAAAATTCATGCGATGTGCCATTTCATTGAAACAACAGATGGTCCAGTAAGTAAATATACAACAAAAGCAAAGAACAAAAAACAAACTTATTTGCTAAATATTTCCACCATACCTTTGTATTTGAAGTTGAGGAGTGTCGACCTGCATCTGGTTGATTGGCCATCTGCCGATGAATCTCCATATGCAACTCAGGTGCCTGGTGATCATATTATATAAGGTTTCAAATGATTAGAAGTCATCATGTAATGAGTGGCAGACAAGCAAAATTTTGAAGAATGGGTAAAGCTATCAGATACATTTCCGCAAGACAAAAAATCGTAGTTAAAGATCAAACAACATGGATGAGTTGGTTGTCAATAACAATTCATTAAGAAAATGTCCTGGGGCAAACTGGCATTTCATGGTACACTAGGCATGAAAAGGATAAGTTATTTGAATCATTCCTTCATTCATAGCTGATCTATCCAGATCCTGATATAAATTGGCATTTTGGAATAAAAATTCAAATATTGCTTCACAGTTCACATTGAACATATAGTTTGGGGATTGGCTATAGATTGAGAAAGCGGAAGCAATATGCTCAGATTCAAACATCCAAAATGACACGGTTTTGTACTGCAAAAAGTTATGAAGGTTTGTTAACAAACTAGATCCTCAGTAATGTAAATCTGAAAAATGTATTTTCATTGGATATGCATACTATGCGCATTGATATTTATTTGGTCTTCTGTCTTATTTTTTAAATTTTTTGTTTGTTTTTAAAATGTTTTATGTCTATGATGATGGTTCTTATAAGAACATCATATGTTCTCTAGTGTTCCAGATGCCTCATTAGATTTTGTTTACTAATGCAGGTTTTTTAATTCAACTCTTAGATTCGCTAGTTCAGATGCATCCAAGTCTAAGTTTCAGTAGGCAATCAGTATCTGTTTTGTACATCCACTTATTTAGAAATTCACTATTTTTGTCGCTGGTTTGGTTATTATTCTTTTTGCTGGATTATGTTGGCTTTAAACCTTATATTGCTCTGTTGGTTTTTCCCTTACAGCAAATCACTATAGCAATGTTTGACCGCAGGTTTGCCTTCTATGCTTGCTACTAGCATTGTAGCAATTAATGCCTTTGCCTTATATTCTACTTCCCGTATTGGGTACTACAGCAGGGTAGTGTAATCTTTGAGAATTGTGATGTTCGTCAGGGTCATCTCAATTGTATACATGACCCAACAAAGCAACAAAGTAATTAATGACAAAGAACTTAGCAATCTTTGCTCTCAAGAATAACCTCTTTTAACTTTCACAAGAAGTCTTTCGAGGGCTTCAATGTTAATTCTCCCAAAAACTTTTACTAAATTCTTCTCAGGAATGTCTGAACTATTTTTTGTCATCTACTCAACACTAAAACTTTTGTTGAGCATACTTCATGCATTCATCACCACAGCATTAATTGTTATTTTCATCAGCCTCAATGCACTTATCACAGGTTTTCCATGGTTATTGATACAAGCATCTAAAACTTCAATAAATGTTCATATAGCGTCACATTCATTTCATGTAGAAAAGAATATTAGCTCTATAATGCTTCACAATACTTCCTTCATCTCCTCCATTTAATTCCCACAGGAAATATCGACCTCTAGCAATATTGGCCCCCTCAAGCTTGCCACAGAAGACCTTTCAACACCTTTCCTTGGAATAACCTTTCTTTCTTTCAAAATCAAAACATCTTTATAATCTCTTGAGAATCAGCCATTTCCTCTCAAGCAATAGTCCAGCACAAATTTCTCTCTCCAAAATATGACAAAATGCTAAATTGCTACTGTAAAAATGCCCAGCACATTATAACTTAGATAATACTCCAAATGCGGATAAACTCGCTCAGATTGATGTAGGCAAAGGGTGGGTCAACTCAAGCCCAAAATAATTTGATTTTTGGCTTCCCTTAAGCTTACTAGCTCAATAAATTTTGAGCTGGAATTTAGCTCATTTATGAGCTGGTTTTTAGTTCATTTATTGAACTAAAGGTTAGCTCATTATTAGCTAGGTTTTAGTTCATTTATTATCTTATTTATGTAGCTTTATCTTTTAAAATTTTGTGCTTGGCCTCTTGGGTTCCCGTAACTTGGCTCCTTGGTTCCCACAGCTACCTCCTTGGTTCCCACGACTGCCTCCTTGGTTCTTGCGGTGGCCTGTTCGGTTTCCAGTGCTGGGTGGCCTTTCCCGTGGCTTTTGGCACCTCAGTTCTGGCGGGCCTCTTGGGATCCCGTGGCTGCTCCCTCGGTTCCCTGGTTGGGCTGTTTTTTCGTGAAGTTGGCGGGGGGGGGGGGGAGTGGATTTCCGTGGTTGTGATGTTTAGGTTCTTGTGGAAATTTATTTATGTGGCTATTTGTATTCCCTTCTCATACCTATATATATGAGATGTTTAAGAGTTGTAATGTTTGGGTTCAAACAACATGGATGAGTTGGTTGTCAATAACAATTCATTAAGAAAATGTCCTGGGGCAAACTGGCATTTCATGGTACACTAGGCATGAAAAGGATAAGTTATTTGAATCATTCCTTCATTCATAGCTGATCTATCCAGATCCTGATATAAATTGGCATTTTGGAATAAAATTCAAATATTGCTTCACAATCTCTCGGTGGTTGGTTTCCCTAATTTCTCCTATCTAATAATCAATTCATCACATTTACATCTTGCTATAATTATTTTATACCGGCCATATATTGTTCTAGGATAGAATGAAAGACAGCACATTTCTATTAACATTCTTTTAACAGCAATGATATGAGAAATTTTCTCCTCAAAAAGCAAGGGAAAATTTTTTTAGGGCTTTTCTTTCAATTGGATTCCAATTAACAATAGCTAAAGTGAAACACCATAATATTATTGCTAATCCAATTTGCTTTATTGCGTCAATTCTATGAGAACACACCAAAATACTCAAGATAGAAAGTCCAATCAATAAACTAGCTTAGAAAAACTACCCATTCACATTCAAAAAATCAGAGATGATAAAAAATATAATAAATGGAGCAACAGAACAGGAAAACCACCTTGGCAGAGAATTCTAGAGACTTCATGTATATCTCATTACCAGGATCCTACAAGAAAGACAAACTTAGTTGCTCTGAATGGTTGAAATCATCCCTTTTTTTCTTAATGAAAACAGCTGCTTAGTTGTAAATACCTCCTCTAGTGCCTGCTGGTAGCACTGTGTTGCCTTCCCAAAATATATCGTTGCGGCATTAAGATCATTAAGGAATAATGCATGGGAAGTGTGCGCATTGCCCAAACACCAGAGGGCGTCATGTTTCCTGGGATCAATCTGCAGGGCTTCCTCCATCTTTGAAGCGGCATCTAAAGCATAGCAGTTAATTAGCTCCGCCATAGTGTATGATAAAACTACGCAGTCATCGGTTAACCAGTGTTAAAACCTTTTACAAACTTCAGTGAATCTGAGGGATTCTGGAATTGCGACAACTCGAGTAGCGCTTTGCCCCACGTGGTGAGATTCTAGAAAGAGTAATTGAAGCAACAAATCAAAATGAAAATATAAAACATGAACACGGGGTTACAAAACTAGTGAGCTCGGAACAGAGCATAGTTTCAAAACTTGTATACAAAAACATCGCGTCGCAACGACAAAAGGGTTAAAATGCGAGTCAAAGAAAACCAGAAAAGCCATGATGCTTTACAGATAACGAATTAGGACTTAGGGGCTCACTTCGGCATCGAGGGGATTCTTCGCGTAGGCAGCCTCGGCGTCCATGCGGGCATGCTCGTAGAAGAGAACACGATCGAAGTCGATCTGACCCAAATCCATGTCGCAGGCGAGGAAGCTGAGGCACCAAAATTTGTTGGGTTTAGGTTTTAGGGCTTATAAGCTGTGCTGGCGACAGTAGCGCGCCGGGGCCTGGCCACTCGCACGCAAGGAGAAATTAGAATGTGCCGAGTCTGGAACAGCTCTGATTAGGGATCTCCAACCGAAAATTTTATTTTTCATGTCAAATTAACGCAAAACAACAAAATAATGCAGTGATGCTCCAATCGAACGTCATTTTAGCTATTTTTGAGAAGGTAACGATCGCTCTCCCTTTCGCGCGTTTTTCGGTTGAGAGCAAAAAATGTCGTGAGTGAACAGTGCGACGTCAATATTGGCGTTGCACTGTTCACCTGCGATTAAATGGCGGAAATTTTAGCATTCGGTTGGAGCGAGGGAACGGAACGACTCCATACACTCGTTTGTGTTCGGTTGGAGATGCCCTTAGGGACTAAAAAATGAAACGGTGACCTTTGAATTATAGTGTGTGATGCATTCTGAACTTATACGTTGGTATATAAAAGATACATCATTGATATACATTAAATATATAATTGATAGGTAGTAAAAATGCATCAAATATGTGCTAAATACTATTAGAATAATACATTTGGCTATACTCGGTTACATGTTATATTGCAGAATGCTCTATGGTACTTTTGTAAATAGCTTTCTTTATGTATATATGCTTCTATATAAAGAAGCTCTTTGTATCACTTTAGGCAAGAAAGATAATAAAGAGTTTTAGGTTTCTTCTTCTTTTATTTTCTTTGCATTCTCTGTTCCTACATGGTATCAGGTAGTGGTTCTTGATCGTGCGAAAATGACAGACTCTGCCTCCTCCAGGCTTCATGATCGGAGCGATAGTTCTCAACCCGACGACCATCTAATTCCAGCGACGCTAAAATTTGTCGTCTCAAATCTCCGAAACCTGGTCACTGCTCCGCTTGCGCCCGATAACTTCATGATCTGGAAATCCCAGATCATCAATACGCTTAGAGCCAACGGGTTTCTTCATTTTCTTGATCCCAATCTTCCGTCTCCTTCTCCTACGATGCTTCTTCCTAACGGTTCTACGTCTCCCAATCCAAACTATGCGCAATGGCTGCTCACTGATCAAAACTTGTCGGCATCCATTTGCTCAACCATTTCTCCCTCTATCCTCCCATATGTCATTTCTCTTGAGTCTACTGCGCAGGTTTGGACTGCACTTGAAACAAGATTTCAAGCCACAAACCGCTCCAAGGTGATACAACTCAAGAATGCCCTCCACAAAGTCGCGCTCAAAAATCAATCCATGACTGACTACCTTTTCGAAATTAAATCAATCGTGGATCAAATAGCTGCGGCTGGTTCTTCGATTGATGTTGAAGACGTGATCCACTACATTCTTAACGATCTTCCTCAACTGTATCAGTCGTTCAAGTCGTCTGTTCGAACGACGTCGTTGCCGCTAAGCCTGGATCAAATCTATCCTCTACTGCTAAGTGAGGAGATTAACATCGCATCCGACACAGCAAGATTCTCGTCGTCAACTGATCCAAACATGGCTCTGCTCACAAACCGTGGTCGAGGCCGGCGATCCAGAGCCAAGAATACATATGGCTCGTCCATAACGAATCGCAGCAACCCAAATGCGGCCGTTATATGTCAGATTTGTTCCAAGAAGGGGCACTCCGCTCACTCGTGCTGGCATAGAATGGATATGCAATATGTGGCTCCCTCCAAGAATGCGAATACGGCATTATTTGCCTCGTCGGACACCATGGACGCTAGCTGGTTCTTGGACTCAGGTGCTTCATCGCACCTCACAAATTCTTTGGACAATCTGACCATGACCAAGCCATAACATGGATCCAACAACGTGACTATTGGCGATGGGAACTCCGTTAGCATCGCACACATTGGGGCGGGCATTCTCCCGACCCCCTCTCATAAGCAGCGGCTCTCGCAAATCTTTCATACTCCCTCTCTCAAATACAATCTATTGTATATTTCCCAACTAACTAAAGACAACCATATCTCTATTACTTTTGATCCATATGGTTTTGTGTTGAAGGATCTAGCGACGCAGGATACCATTCTTCGAGGAACGTCCAATGATGGTCTCTACGCCATTCCGATGAAGAAAACGGCCATGCAACATCAAGCACTCTCCGCTCAACTGGATGCTTCTCGGATTTGGCACCAACGCCTTGGACACCCTCAAAAATCTATTTTTGATTTAATTTCTAGTTGTAATCCCATGCTCAATATGAATAAACAACATACTAAATGTGAATCTTGTTCGGCTTCTAAATGCCACAAATTAGCATTTTCCAGCTCCTTCAACAGGCAATCTCAATCTCTTGTGCTTATTCACAGTGATGTCTGGGGACCGGCTCCAACCACATCTGCTCAAGGATTCAAATTTTATGTCATCTTCGTAGATGATTACACGCATTACACTTGGTTTTTTCCTTTATGTTTTAAGTCTGATGTTTTTCTTACTTTTGTTAATTTTAAAACTAAAATTGAGAACCTCACGTCGAACCGCATCAAAATGTTGCGCACGGACGGAGGATCCAAATTTGTAAACTCTGAGTTTACGAATTTTCTTGTCAAGCATGGCATAACGCATCAGATCTCTGGTCCTTATACACCGAAACAGAATGGACTCGCCGAGCAAAAACATCGGCATATCATCGATACAACCAGGTCGCTGCTTCTAACAGCGTCAATGCCAAATTCTTACTGGCCGGACGCTGTCACCACGGCAGTTCATCTGATCAACAGGTTACCTTCCCACACACTCAAAAATTGTTCCCCAATTGAGATGATGTTTAACATGAAACATGTCTACGACGGCCTTAAAGTTTTCGGATGCAAGTGTTATCCGTTATCCCCCTCTCATTCCAGGAACAAACTCATGCCTACAGTGCAACCGTGTGTATTTCTTGGCTACTCAGATATTTACAAAGGTTACCGGTGTCTTAACCTTGTTACCAACAAAATAATTGTTTCTCGTCATATTAGCTTTCACGAGAACATTTTTCTGTTTCCTAATTCTGTTTCTAATATCACAGTAAAATCATCTGATACTAGCCCTCTCTTACTAACACCTGTATCTACAAGTTGTTTAAACCCTGCTATCCAAAATAAGCAGGTAAATACGCCTCTGGATAACTGGATGGCTCAGCAGCCAGTCCAACCTTCCAATACTCCTATGCAGCCATCGGATTCTTCTATAATTGCTCAACAACCTGCCACCCACATCGTTCCTATACATCACATGACCACACGCAGTAAAACATGTTCTCTCAAGCAACTAAACAGGATGAATCTCATTCATGTTCAGCAACAAACGACCAAATGACAGATCCCACCACGACATAGAGGCGTCCAAAGGTACACACTGGCGTATGGCAATGAATGAGGAAATCTATGCTCTCCAAAAACAGGGGACTTGGCACTTGGTTGAACCACCAAAAAATGCTTCTATTCTTGGCTACAAATGGGCGTATCGAACAAAATACCACACTGACGGGTCCATAGCCAAACATAAAGCACGGTTGGTGGCTTAAGGGAACAATCAAGAGTTCGGTATTGATTATACCGAAACATATAGCCCAATAGTTAAGTTACCAACGATCCGAATATTGCTAACAATAGCTCTGCACAAGAACTGGCCAGTTCAACAGCTGGATGTGGCAAATGCATTCCTTCACGGGTCATTGTCTGAAATGGTCTACATGTCACAGCCTAAAGGATTTGAAGATAGCTCGCGTCCGAATCACGTCTGCAAGCTGAACAAAGCAATATATGATTTAAAGCAGGTGCCACGTCAATGGTACAACACGTTTACGTCGTTCCTCACAACGCTGGGGTTTCTTCATAGTCAGGCGGACCCCTCTCTTCTCATATACCGCAAAGACCAAGCTCAAATCTTTATCCTCATTTACGTGGACGATATCCTCATTACGGGATCTGATTCGAATCAAATTCAGTTTATTATTTCTCAACTAAACAATGCATTTTCTATGAAACATCTTGGAGATGTTCACAAATTTCTTGACATCAAAATACATAAAACTGAACATTCCTATTTTCTGTCACAGGCAAAATATGCGAATAGCATTCTTTGTCAAGTGGACATGATGAACTGCAACACGTTGGCAAATCCAACTTGTACAAAACTGCCAACCGAATTCAAAATCGAAAAGCTGCAGGACTCTGCTCTCTACCGTAGCATAATTGGCTCTCTACAATATCTCACGTTAACTCGCCCGGACATCTCCTACAGCATTAATCTTCTATCCCAACATATGCATAATCTGTTTCCTCCGCACTTCTATCTTCTATCCGTTACATTACGGCATACCGATAACCAAATCTAACTTAGTACTTAAATCTTTTTCAGATGCCGACTGGGCAGGCGATCCAATCACGAGGAAATCTACTTCAGGTTATTGTTCATTCTTAGGTAATACACTTGTGTCTTGGCATGGACGGTAAAGAAGCAACGCACGGTATCCAGATCATCCATGGAGTCCGAATACAGAGCTCTCGCCGCTCTGACCTCGGACATAGTGTGGCTCCGCCGCCTGCTTTCCGATTTTGGAATTCCTCAAAACTACCCAACCGATCTCCACTGTGACAACATGTTTGCAATAGCTCTGGCTAACAATCCAATGTTTCACTCTAGTACGAAACATATTGAGATTGATCAAAAAAATTTTAAGGGATCACATTCAACAAACAAATATTCGTCTTCCACCAATTAGCACGACATATCAAGTCGCTGATATATTTACAAAATCACTATCTACTCCACGATTTGTTTTTCTTAGAAGTAAATTGACTGTCGTTCCGGACCCATCAATTTAACAGGGGGGTATTAGAATAATACATTTGGCTATATTCGGTTACATGTTATATTCCATAATGCTCTATGTTACTTTTGTAAATAGCTTTCTTTATGTATATATGCTTCTATATAAAGAAGCTCTTTGTATCACTTTAGGCAAGAAAGATAATAAAGAGTTTTAGGTTTCTTCTTCTTTTATTTCCTTTGCATTCTCTGTTTCTACAAATACGCAGCAAATACATAAATATATAGTAAATATTTAATAAATGTGTAGTTGATAC